AAACCCTCAACCCTAAACCTAAATCCGCACTTGGGGTCTGCGCTCCGAAACCGAAGCCTAAACCCCACTGCCCCCACTGAACGCAAACCTAGAATCCCGAACAAAGTCTGAAGGGCTTCATCGACCAGAAGCCTGAGAAGTCAAATGGTACCCGGACTGATAGACTTTAGGTGTAGGTTTAGACTTTAGGGTTTAGGTGAGGGTTTGGGACCCTCAGGTAGGCACTGATTGAAAACTTGGAACCTTGAAGAACGTGGAGAAGCCTAGGATGCAGAGCGAATGATTGTCCTTTCTGCTACTTCTTGTGCATGCTTCGTGCTGGGTTTTAGGCTTGACAAGGAACGCCTGCGCAGTGTGTGAACAAATCCTTCCAAGAGAACACAGCAAACCCTAAACCTAGACTCGAAACCTCAGCCCTCAACCCTAAACCGTTTATGAACGCCAAATCTAAGCCCAAAAGGGTTCAGGGTTCCGGGGGTTTAGGCTCCCAGGAACCCTACAAATCCACCCATGACCTGGCAGCAGTGTCTAGAATGCAGGGCCTTATGGGCTATGCCGCTGCCCTTCACCCGATGTCCCAGGTGCTGTAGCGATTTCATCTCCAAGGTGCAGGGTGTCAGTTTTTTGGATTTTGGGAGGAGTCTAGTGACAAGTTTAGTGCCCCTAGGTCTCCCAAACTCAGAAGCCCTGCTCAAGTGACAAGCTGCCGTGAAAGGAAGAGGCCGTTGCCCAGGGGTATATTGCCCTTTGTAAATCAGCACCTGTCCATGCCTGGGACGTCTTCAGAGCAGCAGGCTGGGACGTCTTGACACCAAGAGGGGCCATATATACTATGAATTATGGAATTAGGTCCCCAAAACCNNGATGGTCTTTGGGGACCTAATTCCAAAACGGTAGTGTGTATGGACCCTCTGGGACAGGGGCCCGAAAGACCAAGTGACCGAAACCGTAAGCTCTCAACCCGGAACCAGAAACATCCTGAAACCTTAAACCTTCCAAGATGGGCCCGAAAGACCAAGCAAAAGGATCAAGCAAGACGGGGCTCTGGAGCCTACCTTATATAGAGGTCTTCTTCCTATCCCAGGACCATGATCCTAAACTCTAAACCCCCAGCCCTTAGCCCTGAACCCTAAACCCTAAACCCTAAACCCTAAACCCTAAACCCTAAAGCCCTAAATCCCGAAACCCCGAAACCCTGAACGGAAATATCCGCTTTGGGTTGCGGGCTTTCGAAGCCTCTGGGACTT